TGAATATATTTGAAACATATATTTTTATTGAACTTGAACATTTATTTATACCTCAGTTTACGGACAACAATAGGAATGCAGAAAAAAATTCCAGTACCCTGCAATGAGTTTTTTTTTTAATTTTTCAGCAGAAAATTTTTAACAGCAGAGAGAAAAAAGGATTGGACTCTTTTCAACCAACCCCTGGGCTTATCAGTAAAGATTTTTTTATTTCAGTGCTCTTGGGCACCAAATTTTGCAAAAATATCTTGCCTTTGCTGCAGAGGGCTTGAATGGTTTCCAGAATTTAAGCAATAAGGATATAATTATGTAGGAGAGAAAATGTTTCAAGAAAAATATAAGACTAAAAATAGTGAAGGAAATTGAACAACATTTTAAGGAAAAATAAATGGCAGGAAAAAATTCCTCATATACTGTGTAAAAAAAATTATGAGTTGAAAAATCCTTGCTGTATCTATCAAGGATGCCTTTCTTATTGCAACACGAATATGTCACATCTTGCTATAAAAAATTAAAAAATTGTAACAAAAAACACGCTCAAGTGGATTAAAAAATCGACCATCATATATACTTGGGCATGTCCTGCGCATTCCGCATGGTGTTGATGAGGCGGTGGCACTCGTGCCTCTGAGTGCAAGTGGTGTACTGGTACCCCAGCATGCCCCAAAACATCAGCGCCTCCCCCATGAGGAACCACCGGAGCCACTTGAATGCCCCGCCGGCGGTAACACTATCTGGGCAAGGCTCCTGTCCCAGTTTGGCCCTATCTTCCTCAGTGGGACACACCCCAAGAGACGCAATTCCTCGCTTTATTGCTTCAAAGGGGTTAGGCCATTTTGCTGCGGCGAATTCTTCGTATCTGCGGTGGAATACAGAAGTGCCCAGGGTTAAGATATTTCCAGGTTGCGTATAGACATTCTAAAGCGACAGAAAGAGACAGCAACAGGCAGAGCGAGAGACCGAAAAACAGAGAGGCAAAATACAGGTATAAAAAAGGCAGGCAGAGGTGGAAAGACAGACAGGCAGAGGCACAACAGAGAGGCAGAGGCAGAAAGACAGACAGGCAGAGGCAGAAAGACAAAGACAACAAGACATTTATGCAGAGGCACAACAGAGAGGCAGATGCAGAAAGACAGACAGGCAGAGACAGAAAGACAAAGACAACAAGACATTTATGCAGAGGCAGAAATAAAGATGCAGTGAGACAGACAGTCAGAGGCAGGAATATGACTGGCAAAGAGACAGAAAGACAGACAGAGACATACAAAGAGATAAAAAGACAGACAGAGACATACAAAGAGATAGAAAGACAGAAAGACAGACATAAGAGGCAGAAAAAGACAGACAGACAAAAGAGGCAAAAAGACAGACAGACAGAGACATACAAAGAGATAGAAAGACAGACATAAGAGGCAGAAAAAGACTGACAGACAAAAGAGGCAGGAAGACAGAAATACAAAAGAGACAGAAAGCAAGACAAAGAGACAGAAAGCAAGACAAAGAGACAGAAAGCAAGACAAAGAGACATACAGCGAGACAAAGAGGCAGAAAGCAAGACAGACAGTTTGGTACTGGACATTTCGGCAGTTGTTTTACTGCTGTATCACAGAGTAAGCTGCTGGTCAATATCATAACCCAATGAATCCAAAATCATGTGGCATATTTCGGTCCACGCATTTTGAGTCATCAAATATATAAGCAATTAAATAATTGTTTCCATGCATATCAGAAGTTTACTTGATTTTGGTGGTACTGGCTGGGATTGTGGAACTGATGATCTCATAGCTTGCAGCGAGCGACACCTACCGTTGTAATAACTCTTCAGGCGGCTAACATGCAATTATGAAACTGACATTCAAGACGAACTTTGTGATTTTCGCAAGTGCGCAAAAAAATATCACACCTTCGGGTTATGGGATCAACATAAACAGGTGCTTGTCCCGAGTCCGCTTCAATCTTAGTCGAGCCTGCTAGCCCGAACTTGGCTAGGAACCCCGGATCGTGGTTTTCACCTGGCATGGAAGATGTCGCTGCTGACACAGCAGCATTGCTGTTGTCGGTAGCAGGTGTCGCTGCAGTATCTCTAAATTCACGCAAATCTCTGGTATAACGTGAATTTTACAATTTTTTTCATACATATTCCGCTCAATCGACGAGAACACGGAAAAAATCACTTTTCAGGTTTTGATCAACTAAATTAATGATTCAACATATTTTTAGTCAAAATGTAACAAGAATACAATACAGTATATATTCATTTTATTCACACAAATCAATCACTTTTATGCCGAAGTCAAATTCTTGTGAACTATCAAGATTTTAATCCTTAAAATCTGTTTTAAGATAATCAGAAAGACGATGGATAACTTATATAGATGCAAATATAATTCATATAATGTGAAAGTCATTAAAAAAAGCGAGGAATATTTCGAATCAGATGGGATATTCTGTTGCTCATCCTCAAAATTGGCAAGGAAGTGAAAAAGGTGTAATCATAGAAATTATTGTATTCTATAAGGAATTTATCGACTATTTTAACTATGTTACACCGCGTGCAAACTTGAATAAAATATTTGCTCTCAAAAGAAATCTGCTGAAAAATCTGAGGGCTTATACACAGTAAAACATTTCATTTCTTGAAATTACTTCAACACATCGTCATCAAATTTACTTCTTTCATATTAGCCAATCAAATTGACCAGTTTACAGCCCTGGTAAACGAACATTATTTTTTTAGTATCAGCTGACTGAAGAAACGAAATGAAATTCAGGCAAAGTTTATTTCTGAAAAAATCGAATTGAACCTTTTTTT